GACTAAAATTTAAATTTGAACAGTTTGATGCGTTCGGAAATTGTCAAAAACTCGTTTATTTATTTAAGATTGAGTAAAATCGCTAGCTTAAATTATTTATTAAGCTTACTGAGGCTGATAATGATTTAACTTTCAGCTTACTCCGCAAAAGTGATATGAACTCTCGATTAGCATCCTGTCAGTGAAAGTTTAATGATAAAGTTACGCCTTCCTTCATTTTCCTTCTCGATCAATAGATTATCATTTCCCCTTGAGCATTCTCATAAAAATTTTGATCATCAGAGGACAACTGCTAACCGCTCGAGGGAATTACAAAATGAAGAATTCAGTCACCTGCCGGAAACATGAAAGCTGGGTTATAACAAAATATTTTACTTGTCTTTTTGCAGACAATACGTTGGAAGAAAGAAATTATATAACTAAGGCCGGTGTAATAGGCTAGTTTTGGCTTATTAATATCTAAGACAAGACAAGAAAGAGAACAAATAGAGAATGTAAAAGAAAGAAACGGCAGAAATTGTTTGTTCGCATGATTTTTGCTCTTCTTTTCTTTTGTTCTAGTTTTGTCGGAGGCGAAACGGAGGTGAAAGAGCCACAAAAGGTTATCAATTACACAGCTGAATTCAAATATTTTAAAATGTGATTGCATCTATGTCTATACATTGATTTTAAATCTTTATACACATTCGAATACCTGGACTGATTAACATGGGTTTGATATCCTTAGCTTGAATCTTCTTTATTTTTAGCTTGCTGAAGCTGATAATGATTCAAGGCTCAACTTTATACAAATGATATGGACATTTGATTGACACCTTATCACTGAAAGTAGGTTGGCATGCTAGGTGGTCCTCGTTCTTAGTGCTGCGGTACGTCACTCCTTCGCCCACGAGGGGTGTTCCTCAAGGCCTCAAACTTATTCACGAGCCAAGTAACTCGTATTGAAGCGTTTATAATGAGCGCCTGCCCATGGGCTAAGTAAAGAGGGATTGTAGGTCGCAACGTGAAAAAAAGCAATATTCCAGGTGTTTTTATATATTTGCCTCTTATTACCATTTCATACAGGAAGTACCTGACAACTTTACGCGACAAAGATAGGCTTTTTTGAAACAACAGACAATTTTCTCAGTGACGTTATTCAAACGAGTAAACGACGACAAGGAAGTCTTCAATTAATATATGATTATTATGTAGGAACTGAGTAAGGTCTCAGTGATCGTCGTTGTGTTGGTATTTAAAAGAAATATTTCTTGTTGCATTCACAGATAACTTCACTCCAAGAAAAAGGAAACGAACACAAAATAATGTGGACGACAAATTTCACTAGTGGTGGAACACAAGCGAAATCATTACAAGAACTACATTGCTCCCTCCCTCTGGTTGGTGTGCTTCAAGAAGAATTTAAAGTTTCTCTCTCAACAATCTACTTTTTCCTTTCCATCACAGCATTCTTTGGGAACTCTCTTATCCTCATTTCCCTCCACAAAGAATCTTCCCTTCATCCGCCGTCCAAACTTTTGTATCGTTGTCTGGCCATAACTGACCTGTTGGTTGGTCTTGTTAGCCAGCCTCTCTACGCTACTTCTTGGATGTCTGTGGTTCAAGAACACTGGAGTCTTTGTCGATACGCATTTGACGCAGCCACCATCACAGCCTTTGCATTATGTGTATTGTCTTTGATGACAATAACGGCCATAAGCGTGGACAGACTTCTTGCTCTGCTGTTAAGGCTAAGATAGACAAATTGTAACTTTGAAGCGCACATACATCATTGTAGCTACTTTTTAGATTGCATTTAGCGTCGCTGCTTTATGCTACACATTAGATTACCGTATAACCGTTTGGTATGGCCATATAGTTACATCACCTTGCCTTGTCATTTCATTCGCCTCGTATATAAAAATATTTC